TTTGGTTGGGTTAGCACCAGTGATAGTCACCAGCTGTCTGTAGCATTCGGACAGCTGTCTCCCATTCAGCAGATCCACTAGCCTTTATTGGGCAGGTGGGGCTTCCATTCCTAGGATCCTTTGGCCTTCCCTGAAAGAGGCAATGCAGGGCTCTCACTAGCTGTCCAGTAAGGCCTCCATTAAATACCAACCTTTATTGGTCATATTTTACTGCCAATGTTCACAGTTGAGAATGGGTGAAAGGCCAGAGGTAGGCAGTGTTCATCCAGCAGTCACAAGCCTGAATGCCAGTTGTAATCACCATCCCTGAACATAACGGGCAATTTAGCATGGCCAATCCAACTAGACTGCACATCTTTGGACTGTGGGAGGAAACCGGAGCAAACGTATGCAGACACGGAGAGAACGTGCAAACTCCATGCAGACAGTCGCCCGAGGGTGGAATTAAACCCGGGTCCCTGGCGCTGTGAGGCAGCAGTGCTAACCACTGTGCCATCTGTGATGTTTGAAAGCGGGAAGATATTGCAAAAGATGTTAGTCAAAACCAATTTAAAGATATTGATCTACAAGAGCCTAAGTTATAATTCACAAAATTGATTTTATATTAATTTTGTGGAAGGCATTTTCAATCTTCGAAGTCTGCGTTGCCTAGTTGATGTAGTTTTATTTTGGGAAAAGGATTCAAGTTGTTTATTGTTTTGTTACAGAGTTTTGTTTTTGTTTTCTACTGGAAGATGAGAGACGTACCAACAAGGCAAATTTAGATGTCATTAATCAGAATTGTAGCACAACAAAGCTCCTTTAACACAAAGTAAACTATTAGCTTCCCCCAGTAGTCAGTGAATGAGGGAGGGCTTTATACAAGTTATCATATTATTATTTGCACGTCATATGGACTGATATATATTGTTGGTATTTTCTAATTAATCTGTTCAGAGATGCAATTCTTACACCTTTGGGGCAGGTGGGACTTTAACCTGGGTCTCCTGGCTCAGAGGTAGGAATATTATTACTTATTGTCTTTTTTTT